CAAAGAAACTATATTAAGCACCATTCGCGATGCAGAAGAACGTTACAAGAAGCGACTGAAAAGCTAAATCAAGCTCGAGCTCGTTTAGAACAAGCAAAAGAAAAAGCAAGAAAAATCCGTGTAATAGCATATTGCAAATTGAGAGAGAAAAAGAAAATTAATCAAGGCTGCTGATGAGGATCTAAACGTTAGAAGATTCTAAAAATATGACTATTCGTTTTGAAGAACAAAAAGCCATTGTACAAGTACGACAACAAGTTTCTCGATTAGCAGTTGAAAGAGCTTTAGAAGTAATTAATAGTCGTTTGAATATGGATTTACATGCTAGAATGATTGATTATATTGGCTTATTTAAAGCTATGGAAAATTCTGCTGAGTAGAAAAAAGAACATATATAGGTGCATATCTTTCAAGATTACACACCACGTCCATGTAAATATTCGACCTGATGAAATCAGTAGTATTATCCGCAAACAGATTGAGCAATATAATCAAGAAGTTAAAGTTGTTAACATAGTACTGTTCTTCAAGTAGGAGATGGTATTGCCGTATTTATGGCCTAGACAAAGTCATGGCAGGGAGCTACTAGAATTTGAAGATGGTACAGTTGGAATGCTCTAAACCTAGAGGCAAGATAATGTTTGGTGCTGTACTTATGGGAGAAGGATTGAGTATCCAAGAAGGTAGTTCAGTTAAAGCAACTGGAAAAATCGCTCAAATTCCTGTTAGTGACGGGCTATCTAGGACGTGTAGTTAATGCACTTGGTCGTCCCAATTGATGGCAAAGGAGATATCCCAGCTTCTGAATATCGTTTAATTGAATCTCCTGCTCCCTGGTATTATCTCTAGACGTTCTGTTTATGAACCAATGCAAACAGGACTTATTGCTATTGATGCCATGATTCCAATTGGTCGTGGTCAACGAGAATTGATCATTGGAGACCGGTCAAACTGGGAAAACAGCAGTAGCTAACAGATACAATTCTAAATCAAAAAGGACAAAATGTTGTCTGGTGTCTATGTAGCTATTGGACAAAAGGCTTCTTCTGTAGCTCAAGTTGTAAACACCTTCGAAGAACGTGGTGCATGGAATATACTGTAATTGTAGCAGAAACAGCTAACTCACCTGCTACTTTGCAATACCTTGCTCCTTATACTGGTGCGACAATTGCTGAATACTTTATGTATAAAGGACGTCATACATTAGTAGTATATGATGATTTGTCTAAACAAGCTCAAGCTTATCGTCAAATGTCTCTACTTCTAAGACGCCCACCTGGACGCGAAGCTTATCCTGGAGACGTTTTCTACTTACATTCTCGTCTATTAGAAAGAGCTGCCAAATTAAGTAATCAATTAGGTGAAGGTAGTATGACTGCTTTGCCTATTGTTGAAACTCAAGCTGGTGACGTCTCTGCTTATATCCCAACAAATGTAATTTCTATTACAGACGGACAAATTTTCTTATCAGCTGATTTATTTAATGCTGGTATTCGTCCTGCTATTAATGTTGGTATTTCAGTATCTCGTGTAGGATCTGCAGCGCAGATTAAAGCAATGAAACAAGTTGCAGGTAAATTGAAACTAGAGTTAGCTCAATTTGCAGAATTAGAAGCTTTTTCACAATTTGCTTCTGATCTTGATAAGCTACTCAAAACCAATTAGCTAGAGGACAACGTTTACGTGAGTTGCTTAAACAGCTCAAGCTGCACCTTTAGCTGTAGAAGAACAAGTAGCAACTATCTTTACTGGAGTTAATGGCTATTTAGATGTAATTGAAGTTGCACAAGTTAGAAGATTCTTGGCTGAATTACGTCATTATATCGTGACTAATAAACCTGAATTTGGTAAAATTATTCGTGAAAAGAAAACTTTTACAGATGAAGCACAAGCTATTTTGAAGCAAGCTATTCAAGAACATACAGAAGCTTTCTTATTACAGGAAGAATCTGGAGCTGCTGCTCGTTAATTTAAGATAAAGTAGTTATATGACTAAATATATGACCTTTCAAATATAAATAAAGTGCATATATTTAGTCATATGATATATTTTTGTCTATTTTGGTATGCAAGAATACCTTTTCTCATAACTAACAGTTTTAATAAACTCTTAATATTGCGTCCAATAGGAATCGAACCTATATTGGAGGTTTAGAAGACCTCTGTCCTATCCGTTAGACGATGGACGCTTCGCTTACATATAGGTTTAGTAAGGAGAAAATGAGTATTGCGATAATATTACATAATATATCAGAAAAAAAATATATAGTCTATCGTTGCGTTTCAAATCCATTGAATATAGTATCTAATTTTCTAAAGGGAAATTTCAATCTATAATAAGAAATAAGAAGAGTTCTGGACATTTTTTCTAATAGAAAAGGAATAGAGAAAAGGGTGTTGACAAAATGAGAATATAGCGGGTAGCGGGAATCGAACCCGCACCATTAGCTTGGAAGGCTATAAGTTATAGTCGATATGAGTTAGTATATAACTCTAAATCTCTAATTCAGAACCGGACATGAAATTTTCGTTTCATCCAGCTCCTCTAGAAGGTCAATCTTTTTTGAAATCATCATTTTTTCTTTTTCTTTTCTTAAAAGAATCATGACAACGGCAAATAAAGGGAACTTCTAGCATCTACGTCAGTTCACTCTTGAATATAAATCAAGGTATACATCTTAGATGATCCTATTGAAACAAAAAACTTTTTTCATTGTGGTTTCATTTCAATTAATTCGTTCCTTTTCTCTGATATGTTGAGTCTTTAGGATGGTTCACTCACCAGACTTCTAGAAATATGCATATTTCCTTGGTGAATCAAGTAAACATGTTTGAAGTCTCATTCTTCAAAGATAGAATTCTCTTTGCTAGTTTAGTAACGATGAATTAGAACCTTAATTATTTAACCATAGACTTCGAGGCGTTAGAATTAGCTTTCTATAGTAAGCGATTCAACTGAAATCTCGCTTTAGGTAATATCATTGATTTTTCAATAATTTCTATGAATCACCTAGAGATAATCTAGAACTATTGCATTAATAGTAAAGGGGAATTTCTTTGCCAGAGAAAAAGTTGTCAGAAAAAATCTGACTAGCTAATTGACCCCATAATTAGCAATATATGGGAAGCTAAACGAATCGCACTTCTACCACTAAACTATACCCGCTTACGTAACATAATATCATAAGATTGGGTTTATATGCAAGGGATTTCTCATATTAATAGAATTTATTATTAATCAAATTTGCCTAAGAAACAGGATCTCCTATTTCTTCAAAAATTCTTATGATTCTTTGTCTTTTTATAGTCTCATTTGTTTAGAATAATAGTTGTTACACAAGAAGAATATTTTTTTGTCTTGTCAAGAGAATTTACTTCATGTATCATATTCATAAAGAGGAATATTTTTTTCAAACATCTTTGTATACTATTTTGATGAGAATCATAATATTTCCTCATAATTCTTATATTTCTTTATACACAGAGATATTCTAAAAACATTTATCAGAATTCAATTGATATTTTCTATTTATTTATGGATACACAATTAGTAGAAGACACACAACGTCCAGTATTCCCATTTACTGCAATTGTAGGTCAAGAAGAAATGAAGTTAGCACTTCTGTTGAATGTTATTGACCCTAAAATTGGTGGTGTTATGATTATGGGAGATCGAGGGACTGGGAAATCAACTACTGTAAGGGCACTTGTAGATCTTTTACCAGAAATTGAAGTGGTGGTTGATGATCCATTTAATTCAGATCCTCGTGATCCTGAATTAATGAGTGAAGAAGTAAGAGAAAAAATTCGACGCGACCAAGAGATTCGTGTTGTAAACACTAAAATTTCTATGGTTGATCTTCCCCTTGGAGCAACTGAAGATAGAGTGTGTGGTACTATTGATATAGAAAAAGCTTTAACAGAAGGAGTTAAAGCTTTTGAACCCGGTCTATTAGCTAAGGCAAATAGAGGTATTCTATATGTCGATGAAGTAAACTTATTGGATGATCATTTAGTGGATGTATTATTAGATGCAGCTGCTTCTGGATGGAATACAGTTGAAAGAGAAGGTATTTCTATTTCACATCCTGCTCGTTTTATCTTAATTGGATCTGGCAATCCGGAAGAAGGTGAACTTCGTCCTCAACTTTTGGATAGATTTGGAATGCATGCTCAAGTAGGTACTGTTAAAGATGCTGAATTAAGAGTCAAAATTGTAGAACAAAGAGCAACTTTTGACCAAGATCCTAGAACATTTAGAGATGCATACAAAATATCTCAAGAAAATTTGCGTCAACAAATACAACAAGCTAGAGAACGTCTACCAAAAGTGCAAATAGATTATGATTTGCGTGTAAATATATCTAAAATTTGTGCAGAACTAAATGTCGATGGTTTAAGAGGAGATATTGTCACTAATCGTGCTGCGAAAGCATTAGCCGCATTGGGAGGACGTGACCAAGTTACACCTAAAGACATATTAACTATTATTCCATTATGCTTACGACATAGATTACGTAAAGATCCATTAGAATCTATTGATTCGGGTCTATTAGTCAAAGAAAAATTCAGTCAAGTTTTCGGATATACTTCTAAATCTGCATCTTAATGGCTAATGTATAGAGCGCTTAACTAAGCGCTCTATACGTGAGGGCATAGATTTAAGAAAAATTCTATTTTTTTATGATTACTAGTTGCTTTTTATAAAAGAATGTGGTACAAAGAAAAGCAAGAATATATAATGCACTAGGGGGTTGTAGTTCAATTGGTTAGAGCGCCGCCCTGTCACGGCGGAAGTCGCGGGTTCGAATCCCGTCAATCCCGAATTGTATACTAATGTTGAATTTATGATCTAACTCTTTATGACCAAAATTTTGCTATATGAATAGTTCTTTCTATATCTTCACGATTTAAAGTTCCTTTCTTCATTAAAGCGAATTCGATATTACTAAGTAAAGAATAATTACTAATAAAAAACTTTAATAAAGAATGATAAATTTCTAAAAGAATACCATAAATTAGTAATTCTCTCGATTGTAGCTTTTCATTAACTAAAGTTTCTCTATGATGTAATAAATCGGAAGAACGCCAATTATCTTCATAATCAGTACTGGTCCATCCTTGATATAAATAAATAGGTGCCTGTAATTGTGATTGTTCTAGTTGAGCGTTAGCTTTTGCCATTTTTCTAAAATAATGAAAATCCTGTAGATCACCATCAAATTTCTCTTCTTGTTTTGCTGATTTTTCATTAATATTAGAATTATGAATTTTAGCATCTGGCCAAAGAATTTGTTTTTTAATCCGTTTTGGGTTTAGTTTTTCACTTTGAAATTTTTCTCCATATGTAACATAAAGTTTTGTAAGAATATTTTTGCTAATGAGAAGATCTCTATCAAAGAATAAAATGGAATAAGCGGGTGTTAATGCAGGTGGATTCCATATGGGTCGTGCTTCTAACAATAAAATTGATAATTGTAATGCATCATAATCTATTACATATTCAGAAGCCCACGGTAATCCCATACTTTTTAAATTGGAATCAAACACCATTTCATTAAAAGAATAATGAATTTTCTTTGTACGTTTTTCTTGTCTTTTTATTACTCTTCTTTCATAAGGTAAATGTTGTTCAAGATCATCATCTAATATTTTCGTATCAATATTATTTTGTATATCATCAGAGGATGATTCTAAAATGATATTTTTTCTCTTCTTTTTAATATTATCAAACAATAGATTCCAACTTAAACTTAAACGTTGTATTCTATAACTCCAATAAATATAACTAGTAAATCGATTGAAAAATTTTAAAGAAGATGTAGCTTTTTCAAATAGATTAATCTTATATTTTCCTCGGAAATTCGATAAAATATCATATTTATTAACACAAGGTAAAGACTTAATATCTTGCATCGGAAATTCAAGGAGTAGAGATTGTAAAATACTAGAAGCTATTGACAAATCATGTTTTAATTGTTTATTAAGATATATACTTTTTGTAGGAGAATTTCTTTTATATGAAATCCAGGCATCTCGAGCGGCTGAACCAGCTAAACAGTTTACGATGTGAGTTAATATTGCGAATTCTGTAACAGTTGACTTTTCAAATGCAAATTCCAAGAAAGCATTAGATAAATAGTAAAACCTAGTTTTCCATAAATCGTGTCTAATAGTTAGAGGGAATATTGGTTTTGGAGCAACCAGTGTACTTTGTACTATAGCTTTTCCAATTTTATATTGTAAGGATTGGTGTTCTAAAATTCTATTATTAGCACTTTGTTTAGAAATTTGTCTGTATACAGACAATCTTATTATATCTGTATCTATAACATTTGTACAATTTGTTGTCTTAATTAATAACATTTCATTAACCAAACCTGCAATGTCTCTCAAATTATATCCTATACTGTTACTTCCTAATTCATAGAAAGAACGTTTGCCTTGTATATATAATTTCTTTTGGTTTAATAAATTAGCAAATATCTTTTGTCGTTGACCAAAAGACAATTTTCGAAGGTTAATAATTAAGTCTAGTCGATGTCTGGATACAAATTTAGGATCTAATAAACCAGGATTATGACTAGATCCGACTAAAGTAATATTACTTTGACGTTCTGGCAAAAGATCATTCCCCATAATTTTCAGCAAAATAGTTAAAAGCAATGAAGCATCATATATTTTGCCTGGTTGATTGTGTGAATTGTGTTTTGCATGAAATTCATGTAGATCTGAAATCCATAATATACAAGGAGCTAACATTTTTGCTAATTCTAAAATATTCTCTACTAAAAATCCTCTATCTGCTAATTGTTCAATCAATTGAGTATCTTGCTTCAGCTTATTATATTTGAAATCAGGTGTCGCATGTCGTATATCTTTTAAAGATATATGAACTAATGGCAAATGTGCTTCTGCAGCAAGATTTTTTACTAAATATGATTTTCCGGTTTCTGGTGCTCCTATTAAAAGCCATCTTTTGGTTGATAAAATGGGTTCTGGTAAATTTTTAGGTATTTTCCTTTTGTCTACTAATGAAAAATGATCTAATTCCAGTTGTGATTTAATAGGTGAAGATTTTATATTAAAAAACAAATCAGTTAACCACTGGAATTGGTTTGATAAAGATTTATTATATTGCATTAAATTAGGATCCCTATAATAAGTATGGGACCATTTTTCCAAATAGCTAAATCCGTCATATGTTTTATCTTGACGAAAAGATAGATGGTTTTGATTTATCAACCTATTAGTATCTGATAAGCTATATTTGGTTAATAAAGTTTTTTGAGTAATTAGGGAATTGACAACTAAATTCTTTTTGCTTCTTGGCAAATCTCTACTACTAGTATTTAATAACCAATTTGATAGAAATGTTTTACCAAGTAAATATGAAAAAATTTGACTTTGTAGCCATATTATCCATCCTCTTGATGCATACATTGTTAATCGGACTTGTTGAGAAGAAGATTCAATACTATTATGAACTAAAATATACAAAAAAGTATTCCAAGATGGATGTGAAAAAGAACGCATTTTTTCAAATTTACGCCATCCATCTAAATATGTGATACCTGTATACATAGGTAACCAATGATAATATATTATACATAATGTAGTAAACCATCCTATCATAGCCCATTCGTTTGCATGTAAAGCTTGATAGCCATTTAAAGTTTCCCACATAGGAACGAATTTTTTTTGTAATTTATATATTTCTTCTAATAT